AAAAAAAAAAAAAAAAAAAAAAAAAAAAAATTAAAGTGAGAAAGCTGTGTCTCTTTGATCAGACAACTACAGACCTAATTCAGTGTCTAGTCTAGCAGCAAAAATGAAAAAATTGGTTGTTGTGACTAAAGAGACCTTAAAAGTCACCGGGTGACAAGGGAAGGCATGGAGACCCAGAGATCTGGAGTGGGCTCTCCTTGGTCACTTAGCTAAAGCAGAGCTGAGACAGAAAGCCAGGGTTTCTGTCCCCCAGAGCATTCTCAGGATCTCTTCCCAAGTTTTCTTTGGATCACGCAGGCCCCCCACCCCATGCTCCATGGCGGCACTGTCACAACTTTGTGTTTCCCTTCATGGACACATAGTAAGCTCCTGTAATGCCGTCGATAGGATATCGTAGAGGAGTGGTCAGAAATGCTGAGAACCAGCTGGAGGACTGCAGCAGCCAGCCTGGGCTTTCTAGACCTTACCTGAAGCTCTTTGAGCTTCTTCTGTAGCTGGCTGCCCAGGGCTTGCTCATCCTCAATCCTGGCATTGAGTGCATTGAGCTCAAAGTCCTTCCTGTAGGGAAGGAGGGAGGGTGAGGCGGGGAGGCTGGTAGGCTCCTGGGCCGTCCATCAGAAGTTAGACACCGTAAGAATATAAATAAAAAGCAGGATTCAGAAAAAGTTTCCAGGGGTGATGTCGGATCCGGTGTAACACCTGTTATAGGACCGAAGTCCAACAAGAATGGGATCACTTATTTATTCATTCATTCAAAACTGTGCCTGGGGAAGGGAGAATAGCCCTGTGCGAACACAAGTGGAAGCACTGTAAGACCCTCAGCTATCAGGGTATGTTCTGCAAGGCTGGAGGGTAGCTCAGGGGTAGGGCACTTGCCCAGCATGTGTGGGGCCCTGGGTTTGATCCATAGCACCACACTCCTCCTCAAAATGTTCTGAAACTCACTGTTTGCTTATGTCTAGGTTTGTATGTGTTGGAAGGACTTCTCTTAGAATTGAGATCACAAGTTACTCAGAAAAAGAAATGATCTGATTTCTCCGCCCTTGATCTTATGGGCAGATCTGTATGAAACATCCAAAAGGGACTTTCCCGAGAGGCTTTGGTGTGGAGCTTTCCTCCATGTCAAGCACCTGGTGTCCAATAGAGGTGTGTCAAAGGGACCAAGCTGTTATTTTTCATCCCTATCAAGTACCCATCAGGAAGAAAGGGCTTGAGGGGCCCACAATAGATGTTTTGCCAGGAAGGATTGTCAGGCTTTGCTGGTCGGTCTGGGGGAAAACCCCCTTCTTGGAAGTTTGCCTACTGGATAAGCATCTACTTGTGGAGGCTGCAGGAGGTCATTGCTTCTCAGGATGATGTCAGCTTGTAGCATTATGGGCTGAGCAGGCTGCAAGCTGGGGAGGAGGAAAGGGGGCAGGGAGAGGAACACGGTACTTTTTCAGTCGCTCATCCAGCTGCTGCTTGTCATTCTCTAGGTCCATGATGCTCTCCTGGGTCAGCTTCAGGTCACCCTCCAGCTTCCGCTTTGCCCGCTCCAGGTCCATGCGCACCTTCTTCTCCTGCTCCAGGGATCCCTCCAGCTGGTGGAGAGA